GGTCCCTATCCGAGCGGGACTAATTGTGGGGGGCCCTGCCGCGGATCGATGATGGAACCGCGTATCGGTGCCGCCGGGTGGTTAGCCCGACACCACCATGGCTATTGCAGACATGTCGGGCGATGGGTTCGCCACACTCCCTATGTCTTATTATTATTATTATTATTATTATTATTATTTACTCGTAAATGAGATCGCTGAACAATCCTCGAGGGCTCCAACTTCACCTCGAAGGCCTCCCAGCAAACTAAGCGATACAAACTTCTCCTAATCACTCTGCAATAGTGCTCCCTTTAACCAGAGGGTGAGCTCTACTGCAGTCCAGATTCATTCTGTCTTAGTAGACGGAGGGACCCAAGGATGACAGCTTTCTGTATTTGGCCAGCTAATGTGAAGGCATTACGCCTACACGCTGGGATAATTTCGAGTGCAGATATGAAAGACTGCTTCATTCGCCCCCCCCCCCAGAGAGCCAATAATGAGGACAACCAATTTTACTTTGAAGCCCCGGTTTAGTTGACGTAGCTCTAACAGGAGTGATTGATACTTGAGCCACTTGTTACCTTCTTTAGTTGTTATATTGTTCTCAGCCGGAGCCGAGAACTCAATGACATGGATGATTTTGTCATCAAAATCAAAGAGGACAATGTCAGGTTTGGCTGCAGCGATAAGCCTGATAGCCGCGAATTAGAAGTTCCAGTAGATCTTAAACCTCTCATTCACAACGACGCACTCAATATCTCCTGGAACATAAGGCATCAGTGGTGTTCTGTCTATCCCATAGGAGTGCCGCAGATGAAAATATAGCACTCTCAAAGCCGCATTATGATGATGGATGTAACTCGTGATAGCATATGTCGAATAAACCGATAAAAGATGCATCAGAGTTTCCGGGGATTGCTTGCAAGCCCGACATCGAATGTCCAAAACTTGCAACCCATAACGCGACTTCGATAGACCAGGGTGTTTATTACACCATTCTGGCACGCGCAAACAAATCCCTCAGTTTCGGACATCAAGCCAGCAGACTTCAAGAAAGAGAAAGCTGAACGGACAGACCCTGCTCTTCTACATGACGAAAGAATACGCCATGCATGAGTTTGTCAACGTGTTGACGGAGCAAGGTGGACTGCTCCGCCTTCTTGATGGTCGCTCTACGCCATGATTTGGTCATGCTAGCTAACGAGTCACAAGCCAACTGACCATCTTGGCCACGACGAAACTCCAAATCGAGGGAAAATTGCTGCTGTATCTGCTGCCTTATATAGAAAGGCCTGAACCCCATGAAGTTCATGATCATGCACGAACTTCAAATGCGGATCCAAGCTATTCATAAGGTCGCAAGCTAAACCGAGGACCAGACGTTCATGAAGAGACGTTCATGAAGGACCTCCATACTAAGAAGTCCTCGCCCCCCACTCTCTCGCGGACAATGCAACCGCGGACTTGAAGAGCGTGGATGCAGTCTCCTGTGGATGTTCATCAGCTTGCGGGTATCTCTATCCAACTGTTTCAGTTCATCTCTACTCCATTTGAGGACGCCAAAGCAGTAGAGAAGCACCGGGACAGCGAACATGTTCGATGCAGCGACTTTATTCTTGCCGGAAAGCTCGGATTTCGAAACTTTCCGTAGTCGCCGACGGTATTCCCCACGAAGAGTGTATGACTAGAACAGCATCCACTATGGATTGCTCATTGAAGCCAAGATATCGGTATGACTCTTTGCCGCCAACATAATGTATGACGCTTTCATTCCCAAGTTGAAGATCACCTATCTCGCTGTCGACTTTGCCCCTCTTCAGATGATGGACGGCGCACTTGTCCAACCCGAAACTCATGCCAACCGCACGCGAATACATCGCAACAACATCAAGCTGAAGCTTGAGTTGTCGCTCTCCCGAGGCAAATAGTTTTAGATCATCCATGTAAAATATATGACTGATCTGATGCCTGGTATCGCCAGGTCTCCCGGCTTGATATCCTCTAACACAACGCAGTGCAAAAGAGAACGACATCAGTGAGATGCAGAGCAGAAGAGGACTCAAGGTATCATCCTGAAAGCCTCCTTTCTTGAATTACACCAACCCTGAAGTCAGCTTCCCGTCACCGGATGTTATGGTGAAGCGCGCCCTCCAGAGTGGCGCAAGATCTTTCATGCATTTCACCATGTTATCTTCTCCCTTTCATCTCACTATGTTATCTTCTCCCTTTCTACTGCAAGGGATTCTAATAGCAGAAAAATGAGCTCATGGCTCGTGCTATCAAAAGCCTTGCGGTAGTCGACCGAGGCCGCTGACAGATTGCGGTGGTACTGTATGGAATCGCGTAATACGCAGCGATCAACCACTAAAGCTTCCTTGCAACTTGACAGCCCCCGCTTCGCTCCTCGCTGTTCATGAATTGACTGCCACACTGGCTGTATATCGCGGAGGATACGCTCATTCAAGATGGCAGTGAAGTACAAGCTGTATAGTGCATTCAAACAAGTGATCGATCGGTAATTCGGTGGGTCGGAAAAGTCTCCCTTCTTCGGGAGCAGCACAGTCCTTCCAACCACACAGGGACAGGCACACTACCCTCAAGAAATGCCGTAAACATCCGAGCCACTCTTTCACCGAAAGGTGTTGATACAATCAGGACCCGGAGCGGCGTAGTTCTTTATACCTCGCAAAGCAGCTCGCACCTCCTCCTGAGTGATTGGTGAAAATTCCACACACTGCCGACGATGTTTTTGACAAAACGCGCGAAATTCTCTAAGGGCCTGAGTCTCTACCATGAGATTGGGGACCCAACCATACAGATCCCCCCCAGAACTCTACAACTCGCTCGACCGAGGGCATCTTATCCGAGGCAGGCGTAGGCGGATCGAACCAGCGGTTGGGATCGGAGTGGAAGATAGAATTGTCAACCACCCGTCTCAACCGCTTTTCCAGAGACCGCTTTGTGGTCTCCAGAACGCTCACCTTCTCGACAAATCTCTCCTTAATCAAGAGGAGGATTGCCTTATTCAATGTGTGATGGTGGTAGTGTAAATTCGCGGATATTTTATGAATGCGAGCCGTGAAATGCTTTTCACTGGTGATGAAGTCAATCACACACTAAATGCGCGATGCCTGTTTTCTAGCCTCTTCGATCTTGCACTGGAATTGTGCGATGCGTCTCCGCGTTTTCACCTCAAACGAACCCACCCTTGGGACACGAGGCTTCAAACGAAGAACCGCATCATACACAGCCCAGTTCCGGTCGAGACAGGACATCAACACTCGCGTGTTTATACATACAGGGGTGGAAAAAAGTATTCGCCCATCACCCTTTATAAAACAAAACTCGCTCGTTACACAATAAACTACATTATTTCAAGATTTAAATATGCGAAAGAGAATCTTTGTAACGTTCCACGTGGAAGAGAAAAACTATTGAGTTTCTGATCCTTGGTCATTTTCGCCGGACACAAGTATTCGCCCACTGCTTAATTCCAGTTCACGCAGGTTTTAACGTGTTTTAGATGCCACCTAACACCGTGGTTGAGGGGGGGACAAGTCAAGTTCGCAAAACGTATGGATGTAAACAATTATTCAGTCCGAGAAACGAAACGGAGAACGCGATGGGGCGCAAAGCGAAAGAGACGATGGGAAAAGAAAGGAAAATTATTTTAAATTTATACCAACAACGAAAATCCTACTCAGAAATAGCAAATCTAGTTACACAAAGTTTTTCTACAGTTGGGTACGTCGTAAAATTTTTGAAAATAAAGAAAATCTCTCCGATGCATTCAGAAGTCGCCGCCCGAAAAAGTTGACGTGAAGAAAAGAATCAAAAATTGTGCGTTCAGCGGAAAAGAATCCAAAAATCACATCGTCTGAGATTGCAGCTCAGTTGAAGGAAGAACTGTAAAATAGGTCCACCCGAACACTGTTCGGAGAGTATTTCGTCGTGCCGGGTAGTGGGCACGAGTAGCAAGGCGTAATCCATTCATAAATGAGGTAAATAGGAAAAAGAGATTGGAGTTCACTAAAGAATAAGTAACCAAAGACAAAGATTTTTGGAAGCAAATACTGTTCTCTGATGAGAGTAAATTTAATTTATTCAAGACAAGTGGCCGTATTTTAGTGTAGCGCAAGCCGAACACAGAATTCGAAACCAAGAACCTACAAAAACTACGGTGAAGTACGATGGTGGGGGAGTGCTTGTTTGGGGGTGTATGGCTGCTTAGGAGGGTTAGGAAACTTGGCATTTATTGAAAAAATTATGGATAAGTTTGTGTATTTGAATATTTTGAAAGAGAACCTCTAGCTGAGCGTCGAAAAACTACAATTGGGAAACAATTATTATTTCCAGCACGACAATGACCCGAAGCACATGGCATTTATCGTTAAACAGTGGTTTGCATTCAACACTTCGCACTTTCTGCAAACCCCTCCCCAATCGCCGATTTAAATCCGATCGAAAATTTGTGGGAACACCTGGACAAACGAATTAAAAATCACCAGATAACCAACAAGACTCAACTGAAGGAAGTAATTTAACTGGAATGGCATCAAATTAGTTTCGACGTCACTGAGAAACTAGTAAACTCGATGCCAGATCATCTGCGAGAAGTTATTCATCACAAAGGATACGCGATAAAGCATTGAAGATATTTTGCAGCTCGTAAACTAGGTGGGCGAATACTTGTGTCCGGCGAAAATGACCAAGGATCACAAGCTCAATAATTTTTCCCTTCCGTGTGGAGCGTTACAAAAATTCTGTTTTACGTACTAAAATCTCTAAATAATGTAGTTTATTTAGCAGAAAGAATTTAATAAATCAATTACTTTTCTAAGTGTACCGAGCGGGTTTTGTTTTATAAAGTGTGATGGGCGAATACTTTTGTCCACCCCTGTATCTACTATTTTTCATCATTCTGTTTCCCATCTAAATCAGTTTCCTATGTAGAGATCATCCTTATCGTGCTATAAATATTGGATTCCTCAGAACATAAGTTATTTTTATTTATTCAGAAAACAGATGACGAAGATTCTGGAAACGACGAACCCACAGACCTCTTCTACAACGCGGAACATCGCTTAAGTCAGTCCCACAGACTTCGTTCTCCGCAGCTATTCTCACCCCCTCCCAACAATGACCCTCACCCTCAACCCCAGGGTCACCCTCCAGAACCTCCCCAACGTCCAGACCTACCTCACAATTCCCACAACCATCCCGAACCCCGAGAAGACCAGAATAATCGACCTTTTCAGTGGAACTGTCGGGGCTACTGCAACCTCGTGCCCATGAATCCAGGAGAATCGCCGAGACCCAGAAATCTTGTTGAAAGAGTGGATATGTTGGCGAACCATCGACATATAGAGCATGAGCCCATTAACGAGCCAGGTTCGCATTTATTTATTTTTCCTTATGAAATGGTTAAGTGATGAAACCATTGCAAGGCAAGAAATATTTCAACCATAAAAGATTTCCGAATCATTGACAGAAATTATTTTTTGTAGAGAATTTCATGAGCTAAAAAAAGCCTTGATATTTTCCTGTGAATTAATCATTTTTTTAGATACTTGTATCAAAAATGACAGATAATTTCCAGTGGTGTTTGCCTATTGCTCAAGTTTTCTTAATTATTCAAACATCCGTAATGACTAATTTTGGGAAAATAGGTATCACATTAATCGTTTCCTAGCGAATGTTCTGAGCTATAAAAAAAATCTTAGCACTTGCCTTGATATTTAGAAAATGGTGTCAGGAAAATTTCGTACTGCTTATTTATTGATTGCAAAATTATGATTTTGATACCAACGTAAAAGTTCCTCTTGACACAAGATATCTTTATTAAGGATTTTTAGCCAAAACCCACATTACTCACCATAATTTTTTTCATACTGTCTCATATGCCAAGTTCATCTGTGAGCCACACGTTAGTAATAATCTTAATCCTTCCATCGGGGCATCCTAGTGAGAAATTAATGTTTGGAAATCATTTCATGTAACATTATGCTCAGAGAAGAAACGTAACCGTGTGATCGTGAACTTTGATCAAGATGTTGCATGGGTTAGACATTCAAGAGATTGAAAAAAAACCACAAGCCATTTACTTCAGATTATGGAGAATTCATCGCCGACGAGAACAAGTAGGGGACCGGACCATATAGGCGTGATATTTTCGATTGATTTTCGAATTCCTGTAAAAAAATTGGGCCTCCATTACAAGTCAAGCAACCGACACCACACAACAGCTAATCGAGGTCGGTAAAGTCGGTGACGATAATTCAATGCTGGAATCATATGGACCAGTGCTGCCAGATGAGGGCGAAAATCCCACGCGTGGGATTTTCGTGCGCAGCTCCCCCGCGCATGGGATATTCGTGCGCAACTCTGCCGCGCACCCACTGCCACTGAGCATATGCAACTTCCGCAATTGAAACCTGGCGAATTTTATGCCAGAAATAATTATCCGAACCGAAAACAAATGAATATGACGTATTAGAAATTAAAACACCATTTTTACAGGATTCCACATATTAATTTATCGATTAATGGTCCCTATCCGTGATTTATTGGAAGCTACTAAAGATCTAAAAACTTGATAACACTGCTAACACGACACAATTTTAAGGATATTAACATGTTTGACATTGTATTTCTTTGTGGCCCTTGTAACTCTATATTAACTTCACGTCAAACTTCAGAAGGATCACAAGATTCTGGTCAAATTTCACGATGGTCACACGGGAATGATTAAATTTTACGAAGGTTGAATGTTGCAAGGGTCAAATATAAGGATCACGAAGGTCACAAGGTAAAGGATAAATTTCACGACGGTTAAGCTTCACGAGGATCAAACATCACGAGGGTCACAAGGAGATGATCAAATTTCACGAGAGTCACAAGGGAATGATTAAATTTCACAAAGGTTAAATGTTACAATGGTTAAACTTGGCGAGGGTCACTAAAGGAATGGTCAAACTTCAAAAAGATCAAATATCACGAGGGTCACGAGGATGATAGGAAGATAGTCAAATTTCACGAGGGTCACAAGGGGAAAGTCAAAGTTCACAAGGGTCGCGAGGAGATGGTCAAATTTCACGAGGGTCAAACATCATGAAGGTCATGAAGGTTATAAGGGAAAGATCACATTTCAGGAGGGTCAAACGTTACGAGGTCATGAGAGTCACAAGGGAATGATTAAATTGCCCAATGGTTGAATATTGCAAGGATCAAATTTCACGAGGGCCACAAAAGTCACAAGGGAAAGGTCAAATTTCACGAGGATCAAACATTACGAGGATTACGAAGGTCACAATGAAAAGATCACACTTCACGAGGGTCAAATAGTCGATAGCCCTGTTTCTGTATGCACTATGAAATTGAGTAAATGGTTAATTGTTACACCATCATACCATGGAAACGGGTGCGGATAGAGAAAAAAGTTTCAAACAAAATCTGTTTGTCATATCAAAATACACATTCTTTGCCTTGAAACTTTTTTCCCTAACTATTATAGATAAAGAATTATGGATGGAGGGAGTGACGTGGGCGGCGGCCTAGCCCGCGATGTGTCGGACCGCTCCGATGCGTTTATCGGCAAACTTGATAGAGATAAAGAAAAATAGTTCAGATAAAAAAAGCTCGCCATCAGATTTTACATAAAATTATATTTTCCAAATTTTTCTCTACACTTAGCCAGTAATGGGATATTTACGCTCTTCTGCTGCATGATGGGACAAATTACATCCAACATGTTTGTTTACGACCGTAATTAATAAAAAAAAACAACTTCGGATTCAGATTCAACATCACCGGCAACGTAAATTCCAATAATAACATTTACTCAATGCCATTGTGCATACAGAAACAGGGCTAGCGTATGGACTATTTGATCCTCGTGAAATTTGATCATCTCCGTATGACCCTTGTGACTCTCGAGATGTTTGACTCTTGTAAAATTTGACTATCCCCTTGTGACCCTCGAGATGTTTGACTCTCGTGAAATTTGACTATCCCCTTGTGACCCTCGCGACGTTTGACTCTCGTGAAATTTGACAATCCATTTGCCTTGAAACAACCCTCACAACCCTTGTGACATTTGACTATCCCCTTGTGACCCTCGCGAGGTTTGACTTTCGTCAAATTTGACTATCCCCTTGTCTCTCGTGGAATTTGCCCATCTATTTGTGACCCTTGTGACAATTGACTATCCCCTTGTGATCTCTGCGAGGTTTGACTCTCCTGAAATTTGACTATCCTCTTGTAACCCTCGCGACGTTTGATTCTCGTAAAATTTGACCATCCTTTTATGACCTTTTAACCCTTGCGAAATTTCACTATCCCCTTGTGATCCTCGCGAGGTTTGACTCTCATGAAATTTGACTACCCCCTTGTGACCCTCGCCACGTTTGATTCTCGTGAAATTCGACCATCCTTTTGTGACCCTTGTGACCCTTATGAAATTTTTGACATTTATCCCCTTGTGACCCTACTGACGTTTGACTCTCGCGAAATTTGATTATCCCCTTGTGACCCTCGCAAGGTTTGACTCTTGTGAAATTGAACCACATTTTTGTGACCCTTTTGAAATTTGACTATCCCCTTGTGATCCTCGCGACGTTTGATTCTCGTGAAATTTGACCATCATTTTGTGACCCTCGCGACGTTTGAATCCCGTGAAATCTGACTGTCCCCTTCTGAGCCTACTGAGGTCCGACTCTCATGAAATTTGACTATCCCCTTGTGACCCTCGCGAGGTTTGACTCTCGTGAAATTTAATCACATTTTGTGACTCTTGTGAAATTTGACTATCCCCTTGTGACCCTGGTGACGTTTGGCTGTCATGAAATTTGATCATCCTTTTGTGACCCTCGTGACGTTTGACTCTCGTGAAATTTGACTATCCCCTTGTGACCCTGGTGACGTTTGGCTGTCATGAAATTTGATCATCCTTTTGTGACCCTCGTGACGTTTGACTCTCGTGAAATTTGACTATCCCCTTGTGACCCTGGTGACGTTTGGCTGTCATGAAATTTGATCATCCTTTTGTGACCCTCGTGACGTTTGACTCTCGTGAAATTTGACTATCCCCTTGTGACCCTGGTGACGTTTGGCTGTCATGAAATTTGATCATCCTTTTGTGACCCTCGTGACGTTTGACTCTCGTGAAATTTGACCATCCTTTTGTAACCCTTGTAACTCTCGTGATGTTTGACGTAAAATTTCTTCATTCTCTTGTGATCCTTCTGACCGTAGACCTTTCCGAAATTTGACCCTTGTGACATTTAATCCTTACTCTATTGATCACGTGAAATCCGATCATTATATCGTCTAACATTTATTAACATTATTTCAAAAACTTATTCCTTCCCACTGTCCATCGAAGCAAGTGGAATAACAAGTCATGCCGTTCTCGATCGAATTCAAACGATTTAAACGGAGCGCCAGGCATTCGGCGCCCTAAAGGCAGCGCAGTAGTACTCGAGCGAGGAGTGGGGGACTTGTGGGATTCTTGTCGTCTGGCATCACTGATATAGACACGTATAACATACACAAACATGCATCTCATTGTGACAACCCCATTACTAGTCGAAGCGTGCAATGTTGCTCGATTAAAATTCGACTGTTACCACTGCAGTCACAAGTCTATTCTATGTGAACATTTTCTTTAAAGTAGTACATACGAAACTCAGATATCAAAGATTAAAATCTGAAAAAAATTCTCAAGAAGGGTTAATAACAACAGAAACATTCTAGTTGAGTTCGTGTCCAATTGGCAGTCTAGTATTATTGATAATAATTAATTAAGAAATCCCAAATTAACCCACAGTCTTATGGAGAAAACAGCTACAGAACATTAGGACAAAGATTAAAATCTAGAAAAAATATTAAAAAATCAGAAAAAATGAATAAAGACTCTGTTCAATTTGAAGATGATCCTCAGTACCGTTTCTTTGTTATAAATAACTAATGTTTTTGAGTGTCCCAAAATGGCGTGTTGTGTGAGTGACAACGTTGCGTAGGTTAGGCGCTGGCGGGCGGGATTTTCAAACCAAGCAGCCTTTGTCGTAAAGTGCGAACTATTTATAATATGCATGGTTTATTGCTCATGAAAACAAGGGATAAAATCAATTGGTTTGGATTCTCTACGAATTGGAGCAATCGTCGAGCTGTCATCATCTCCAATCAGTGTCCCAAGGAGAACATTCTCCTGCTTGAATTGTTCATTCTTGACTAGGATTTCAACTGCAATATCGGGCTCCATAGCTTTAGCACTTTTGTCCCAATTCTTTTTACAGTTATGATCATCTTGAGGGTGTCCTAAACGACATAAGGTACAATTTTTATTTCTTGTTCCACGAGCCAAACATTTACCACTTTCTCTTGCAACTGCAGTAGCTACTCCTATCAGACAAAAGAAAATGTTGGGTACAAATGGGAAAAATATATAAATAACGGGGATTTCCAGGTTAAATAAATGATTGACACAATTGATGAATAATTCTATTCAGTGTATTCTTCATTTTATTAGTAAAAACTCACTAAAAATTGGACTAAAAGTAATTCATTTTGTTGGAAGTAAAAAATTCGCAGAAAATATTATTTACAATTGTGTCATATACAATTACATGTTCTCCAATTTTTTTTGTGCAGGGAAAATTGCGTGAGCTTCATTTACCTGATAGACTGTCATAATTAAAACCTGATCCAGGTTTTGGCCATGCACCATCAAGACCTGCCCCCAGATGGACAGGCTTACCATTCTTATAGGTTACAGAGGGGTTTCTTCCTAACGTCAGTTTTTTCTCTTCTTTGATAGCTGCCAAACAACTTTCATCAGCAAGTTCAACTAGAGTTTTCCCAACTTTTTTTTCATAACGTTTCAATGTGTTTGAGGGAATTGAAGGCACATTCAACTGTGACAATACAGCATTGAGTTGATGGTTTCCTATCCCTCCATCAATGACAGCTGAAAACAGACGTTCAAACAGAGATTAATTTTATTAGCGAGGATGTTTACAGCACGTGAACAAAGATCTAAATTGAAAATTAACCCACCTCCACCTGCTTTGACGTTTATGGAGTATTGAGACCGATTTGTCTTCCTGTTTAGGACTTGAGTACACGTTTCAACGTATTTTATATTATTACATCGTTCACATTGCACTGAAAAACAACTAGCTAAATCCTGCCTTTGCTCTGCCCTAATATTCCTGAGACTCAGAGGAATGTCACAGGATGAACACCATAGGTTCTCTGCCAAGCACTGGATATTCATAATCCTAGATCCTACAATTCCCTCTGCTGTGGATGGTTGCTCGGGTTCCTTCTTCGGTTTTTTGACTGCTGCCACTGGGTTATTTGTATGTTGAGGATCTTTGGGGTCTTTCTTGCGTTTTGTAGCTGATTCTCTGAACTTCTCACGCTACTCAATTCACCCTGGGGTCTCACATCTCCCCTTGTATCTTGGGGGCATGACCGGCAGGGGGGGCGTGGTTTGTACTTTTACAACTCTACAGACGACACCATCTAGGGAAAGTTACCATCTAGGGAGAAACCTCGCAAAACGAGTCTACAGACAGAGAGAAGAATGAGAGAGACAACGCTGCCACTTTCGGTGGCCCCAGCGACAGTGGCGGCCCCTTGTCCATCTTGGTTAGCACGAACTAAAATTACACGACTGGTCGGTATAGTAGAGTTAGATGTCGCGATGGAGGGGGAAGGCTCTGTGACGCGCTGAACTGAGAGCCTGATCACCTGGGTTCGATTCCTGAGTGCTGTTTTGTTTTTGTTTTGTTTTTCTTATTCGTCACTGTTACGCCAAGTCATTAATTAGCATATTATATTTTCTTTGTCTTTCCAGCAGTGTTGAATTATCCAGAAGAATTAAAATCTGATTTGATTTTAGAAAAATATATCAACAAACATTTTTATTCTACTTCTCGTGATTTTTCAGCTGTATTGTTACCCTCGTGCATTAGTAAGACCTCTGACATCTATATTTACTGTATAGAAACTTTGGCATATGACGGACATAAACAAATACGTCGAAATATCTAGTCCACTTAAAAAATAATTATTTCGGGTTTTATTCATTCCAAGAGCAATTTGTGGAATATATTCTCTGTCGTGGAAAATTCGGCATAAATCAAAGAATAATTGAAGTGAAAAATCTGGATATAACTCATTGAAGCAATCAACAAAATTGAAAGGTTTGTGTGAGGCACTCAGTGGGACATTATTCGACGAAAAAAAATAGTGCCACTTTTTTGTACACGATTTAATAATTATATGAATATCATTGTAGATAGCCAGTCAATTCCTTCATATGCATCTGAAGACGTATATCTGTATATAGAATTCTTTCTCTTCTCCTCTTGACGAGTCCAATAATGCCCAAGGTAAAGTGCCACCGAGATCAAATTGTTGGGGAAATATCGTACGATCGTTGTGCTTACAAAAATTGCCCAAATGGTAAATATCGTAATGGAGCGAGATTGTATCGGTTTCCCGATGTGAAAGATGGAGGGAGATGAGAGAAATGGCTTGAGAATTGCGGTAAGAGCAATGAAACAATTAACAAAAAACATTTTACGTCGTTACGATTAGGAGAAAGTTTGTTCGTTGTTTCCTTGACAAAACTCAGAAGATCTCCAAAACTAGTAGTTCCATCGAAAAACTTCAAATGACTTTTTTGTGAGGAATTCCGTAGGCTACAAGAAAGGTATCATGATATTTTTCTATAGACCTACTAGTTTCGAAGATATTGCGTATTTTAGCCTACTGAGATAAAAAGACGAATGAACTTTCCCCTACACCCAACACGATGAATCCGTTTGAGTCAATTACTCATGAAGTATATATGCACTGATTATGTATTTTAATTATAGGGAATCTCGACCTTCGCAATAATAAAAAATACAGCACTATCAGACGTTCAGGTATTTGTGAGGATCACTTTGATACTTCAAGTTTTGCAGAGAAGAAAGGACTCAAACGAGGTGTCGTGCCACTTCAGAATTATCCATCAGATCTCTCAGATGACAATAAAGAAAATAATGGATCAAATTCTAATGAAGCTGTAGAAATCGTTCATGAACACGTACACACTGACGAGGAAGTAGCAATGTCTGACTCTAACAATCAACCAGCATCATCAAGCCTAAGGTTGTTAAGTCAAACCCGGTTGAGACTGACCAATTGCTACCTGTACTACTGAATGTGGAGGCTGCCCCCTGTGGATCAAAGTCTGAGGAATGTAATGGTGGAGAACAGGTTGATGGAATCTTGAAAGCTGAGAAGCTCAAGAAAGATAATTTGATTTTCCAGAATAAAAGTCGTAAAATAATTAAGAATTTACAACATCAGAAAAGACGACACAACGTGAAAAATGGGAAAGTAATGGTTAAAAAACAGAAAAACAGGAAAACAAATCACAGGAGACAGAAAGAGGCAGTTATGAAAATTGTTGATCAAATGGACATCACTCCTGCTGCAAAGACAATGATATCCTTACAGTTACACACGCCGAATGCACCATACCCTCCTGACGAGCAGAATTTATCGAAACAATTCAATTATTATTCAGCTGTAGGCATGCAACGTTTGAGAAAAACTGGATGTAACTTTCCTTGCAAGAGTACCATCAAAAATTGGGTAATAGAGTATGATATCAGGCCTGGATTTTGTGATTCAGTGTTCAATAATTTAAAGAAAAAACTTGCCTCTTTGACTCCCGAAGAAAGGATATGTGGACTAAAATCGGATGAAACTGTGATAAAATCATGTGAAGAATATTCTCATCACTTGGATCAGATAGAGGGATTGGTTGAGCTCGGTCCACTTGGAAGGACAAAACAGCGAGCCAAATCAATACTTGTTTTTTGCATTGATAGTATTAATGTGAAAAATCCATGGCGTCAACCCCTCGCATATTTTTTGGCAAACCCTTGTGTTAAATCAAGGCAACTCATAGAATTGATAAAAATCTGTTTGGATAAATTGAAAACAGTAGGGGCTGACGTAAAGTACCTGACATATGACCAAGCTGCAACTAATGTGAGTGCTATGAAACGTCTCGGAATCACTTTTGACAAGCCTTATTTTATGTACAAGAATTCTACTTATTTCGCTGCTTTCGATTTTCCCCATCTCATCAAACGTCTTGTGGCTTTTTTTCGAAGATACTCCTTTCTTTATTCAACGACAATAGAACCTACACTAAGTGAACCCACAGTTATCCCTGAAAAGATTACAATTAAATCAGAAATGATTGCCTCGTGGATAGATTTCACAGATACACTCAAATGGGATGAAGGTACGCAGGGAGGATCACACTTACTTTCTCATATATCCAAGGCGCATATGGAGCCACAAAGCTTTGAAGCAATGAATGTGAAACGTACATTTCAGATTTTTAGCAACAGATTTTCAACGTCCATTCAACTAGCGGGTGAATCTGATAATTTAAAATATTCCACCACTTGGAAAAAGACCTCGAGTTTAGCAAAAAGTATAAATGATGTTATTGATAATTTTAATAGCTATAGTGCTAAGGTCACAGCAGGGAATAAAAAAGTTATGTCCGACCGATTTCCAGAGATCGAAACCAACATGCTACGTTTCGTGGAATCTTCCCAATCCTGGAGTACAAGCCCCCAACACATCAATAAATTGCCATGCATGTGGGAATTGACTTTGACGGTCAAGGCGCTATGTTTGTTATATCAATCTATAAAAAAAAGACTTTGCTGACTTTGAACTTGCAACTGGTTTATGCAATCAGGATTCTGTAGAGCATCTTTTCTCTAAATTGAGACAGCGTGGCGGATTTTGCGCAAATCCGACAGCGAGAATGAACAGAATTTCACTCCGTCACATCCTTTCTAGTGGCTACATTTACGCTGGTGATCGCGGTAATGTAGAGTGTGAAGAAGTTGGAAATTTATTGAATTCGAAACTGAAAATCCAGCAAACGATATCAAAGATTCTGACGCAATTGCTCCATTGACAATAGAGGATTGTGAGGACATTGATGTTTTTGATAAGGATGACATAATCGCTGATATAGAAACCCTTGAACTCCGTCATCAACCTAATCCTAATGTTACTAAACCCTTATTTAGTATGAGTCGTTTAGGAAATTATGACAGGAATGCTTTGGTATATCTATGTGGTTTTGTTGTATATAGAACCCTTAAGAAATATGATTGTGAGGAGTGCAGAAAATCACTTAAAAAAACACCAATGGACGAAGTAACTGCAGATGAGCGATACATCATTCTAAGAGAATATGAACATCTCGATCCAGATGAGTCAATCATAAACAAGCTAACTCGTCCAACTGAACGATTAATAGATGTTGTTGGCGTACAATTATAACACTTCATAGAAAAGTGTGATGGGGTTTGGGCTTCTGGCAACATCCTCCAAGAGCTTACCGCAGAGTGCGTTTCAGCGACCAACGGGGTATTTCCAGAGTGGTTTGATGAGAACCCTTGTTACGCACATCATGTCTATGCTCTGCAGTATCTCATCCGTGTCAAATTGTATGCAAAAACGAGAATTCATAATCGAGCAGCGAAAATTGCTCAAAAAATTTAGGCTGGAATGAGTCAAAAATTGAAGAATTTGAAAAACATAAAATAACATTGTAATTGTTTCAGATAATATGAATATAATTATTTCATATTCTCATGTTAAATCTGAAGTTGAATCATATGGAATTTGTTGAACGAAGATGGAAATAAAATTTATCAATGATGATCAGTGTAATCATTACTTTTCATTTATACGAGTGTTCCGGAAATCATTAGCTGGAATGAAAAAAAGAATTATAAAACGCATTTTGAGGGAGGAGGATATTGGATAGTCGTAAGATGAGTTAGCAGTGGAGATGAATAGACGTCAGATGAGCTAGAAGGACTGATGGATAGACGTGATGAGTTAGAAGGAGAGATGAGTAGACGTCTAAACCATCTGACGTCCGACCCATTGGTCCTTCTTATTCATCTGACGTCCACTTATCTGACATCTACCCATATGTGCTTCTAATTCATCCGACGTCTACCCATCTACTCCGTCTACTCTTCTGACATCTACCCTTCCGTGCTTCTCACTAATCTGACATCTACCTATTTGTCCTCTTAACTCATCTGACATCGATCCATTTGTCTTTTTAACTCATCTGATTTCTACCCATCTGTTCTTCCAACTCATCTATCTGTCTACCCATCTGCCCATCTACCCACCCGACGTCTACCCATCTACCCCGTCCACTCATCTGACGTCTACCCATCTGTTCTTCTAACTCATCTATCCGTCTACCCATCTACCTTCCTAACTTATCTGATGTCTACTCATTTGACCCTCCAATCCATCGGAATACCAATGGGTAACAATCATTCAAACCTCACTACAGCTTATAAATTATAAAAACAAGAATGGAAATTCTTGTTGATATTTTTTTGTTTAGCTCAGATCATATGCCGATTCTTTTTGATGATTTAACATTGCTGGAAAGACAAAATATAATGTTCCGATTAATAACTTTGGGTAACAGTTACCAACAAGAAAAACAAAAAAAAAACAAAACAGCACTCAGGAATCGAAGCCAGGTGATCAGGCTCTCAGTTCAGCGCATCACAGAGCCTTCCCCCTCCATCGCGACATCCAACTCTACTATACCGATCAGTCGTGTAATTTTAGTTCGTGCTAACCAAGATGGACAAGGGGCCGCCACTATCGCTGGGGCCACCGAAAGTGGCAGCATTGTCTCTCTCATTCTTCTCTCTGCTACAGAACACAACCAGAGATAATAAGGGAGATTGCTCAGGCTTATGGGAACTGTTCAATCAGAGTTTCATAGCGGTGGCGCGTATGAACTAATCGAGAGGCCGGCTCTGTGGGAAAAGAAATTTTCATCTATTACCATGGAAACAGTCGATAACAGGGAAGCGTTCCCAATCTTAAATCCAACATGAAACCTCCTTTGCATTCACTCATCCGCTTGATTATCCCATTTTCGTTCATACAACTTCTTATTGTCTTAATTTGTAAATTAGTTGATCATAAAGGACAGGGAGAGAAGGAATTATGAAGTCTTGAGCGAAAGAGGATAATTTATTTGAATTTCTATATAACTAGATCTTTAATAAAAAAAACACGAGCAATTCATCTTATTCACATTTATTACATATTTTGTCAGTGATACAAAGGTAATGAATGAATTTCGAATCATTTTGATGAGAAATATATTCAATATTTGTGAGAGATTATATCTCAACAAATCTCATACACATAATGGGATTAAATCAATAATAATAGATTAACGAATGAGACTTTTCACAGATTATTGCGAGATTTAAATGAATGGTTTGCCTTCTTCAGTGACCATAAAAAATAGTCTCCAATCGACAATATCTCCCGATGGAATGGAACGATGTGAATGAATCAATTGATACTCAAGTATCAATTTGAATTTTTAAAAAATTAATCGAGAGTGAAAAAAAATCAGGGAATTTCACTCTGCCATTATGGAGTTATTGACGAGTGAAGTTTATTCACTCTACTCTGACATTTCTCTATTGTCTGTATTTACCGAGAAAAAAAACGTTGTTCCTGGGAATCGATGTGTCTTTTTTAGAGAGCTGCATTTCTGAAATGCAATGAGCAAGCAATGTTAAAATTAAGTCATTTTGTAAAAAATTTCTAGTGACATGATCCTGAAAATCAAAGGAATGTCTTGAAATCAGGAATGATGTCTGTAAGTTTCAGTAATATTTTCGCAGAAATTCCGGGAACTTATTGGGAATTTTTATAGCGTTGCCGTAATACGGAAATTTCAAGGAATTTCGTCATTGCAAATTAAAAATTTCTATAAATTTCAGTCCAATTATATGTGTACGTCCACGTGAAAAGGGCCCACTTTGTCGCATCTAATTTCCGAGATATTCACGTTTTTCTCTCCTCTCCATTTATCCCAAAGTTAAATTGATTTTTTGATCTTCTATACGGACGTCACACGGAGAAAAATAAATCGGTAAAAGTCTTGCGATCGCAAGGAGTTTCCCGAAGATCCCCATTTTTCATGTACAAAGAACCATGAAGCTTTTTGGAATCTTCGGGAAATTCTATTCTATCCTACTCAAGTAGGAGCGGAGGAATGAATTTTCAAAAGTGCGGACTAACCGGAGGGGCTCCTCCGATAGGGAAATTCAT